GTTTAAAAAATCAGGATAGTGGCAACCCATGAAAGCATCACCATCTTCGGCCAAGACACATTCGTGGACGCAGCTGCTACCACCTTCAGTTCAACAGAGAAATCAAAAACACAAGCACGGAAAAATCTTAACGTCCGAATGCTTGAAACGAGTATGAAACATACGATAAATGCGATTTAGGACAGGAAACATCAGCTCTTTTCGAAATAAGCTGCTTCAGATGGGAACATGAAATGCAGCATGCTGCTCCTATGCTAAACACCCTAGTTGCGCATACCGTATGTTTTTCAGGTTCCGGGCAATTGCAAACAGCATACACACACTCACACCGAAGTACATATGTGTGTGCGTGTGCGCATGTGTATGTATATGTATATACATATATATATATATATACATGTATACATATACGGTCACCCCCTCTCCATGAACTACCTCCGTCTTTGTTCGATATGTAAAACACTTAGAAACCACCGTAAATACCGATGACTTTGCTGTTATCAGAAACTCACAAATCCCCCCAAAACTGTGTCACAAACATCGGTCACAAACATCGGTAGTTCGGAGCATAACGAGGCAAACTTCAAACGAGGCGCAACCGCAATAAACGAACTGTGTATACCCAAGCTTGTGCCACGAGATTCGACTGAATTATGTTTATATTTAACCTCAGGACGGACTAGCACAAGAAATTCTCAGCTGTTACAGAAATCCGAAAATCCAAAGATTTTTACAGAATCCTTGGACTCGCAATTTTCTGGGTTCTTCGGACTTTGGAGTTCCATCGTCTTTTTTTGCTTTCTTGGGTAACACCAAAAAGACCCTAGGAAATGTTTGGACTTTGCTGATGTCGCTGGTCGAAATCAGTATACTCTCTTGGGTTTTTGATGTTGTGCTGAAACCCAAAATAATTCCCCAGGAACAAATTAAATTTTGTTGGCGTCGTCGCTCGAAATCATTGTATCCCAGGTTTTGTTTGGATGTTATTACAAAATCTACAAAACCCTAGAGAATACAATGATTTCGATCAGCGACACCAGCAACCTCCAACAAATATAGAAAAAATAAACATGGAAATCCAAAAACCCAAATATTGCGAATCCAAGTTATGCTGTAAAAATCTCTGGATTTTGGGGTTTTTGGATGTGCCAGTGTCTCAGCTATTCGCACCGTTCGTATAAATCTATGTTTCATTCCTGAGGCTGTGGGCGCTACTCACAGGCGCACACGAAGAACATGAACTTCAGCTGCGAGGTTCCTTGATCTGCATTTTGTGTTTAGGACGTGAAGAAAACCCTGTAGCAAAAACACTGAACATCTTTCCCATTGTGATTTCAACAGAACCTTTAATCTGGGTTAACGTGTTTGATGTGCTGGTATGGGTTTATGCTATGTCTTCGAAGCCATGGGTTTTCATGTGGAGTTTGGTATCGCCTACATACGAAGTATTTCGAACACGTGCGCATGGGTTTTTACCAAGAGATGTTTTTCCGATATGACGGTTACAAGTACAAATCAATGAGTAATGGATATTCTTTGATGAAGTGGAATCGGCATTGTGGACAGTATGGATATGTATCTTTGTATAGTGTCTTACAAATCTTCATACGTGAGACGCGACGTGACATGAAATGCCAGACACAGTTCCATGAATATTGCAATGTGTAATATGCTCAAGTGAGTATTTGCCGTTTAGTAGCCTAAAGGGTCTACAATGTGTCACTACGGAGCCTGTAATGCCGACACGAAGACGAACTGTGCAAGCTCTTTGAGAAACAACTGTCACTGGTTTGCTGTGCGCAAAACACAGTCGTACAGCAATGTTTCTGTCTGCGCTTGCGGCTGTCATGCGGTGACTTGAGTGCATCGACAGAGCCTGGTTCCAGGCCTAGTCCAGCATGAAATTGAACATGTCCTCTGCCGCCAACTCAGCTTCCCTCCCATTGTGGCCAAGGGATATTTTGAAGAAGATGCCGCACAGGCGGTAGACGATAGATCCTTGGAGGGATGTTCTCATAGTGCGAGTACGTAGGGTGTTCAATGCTACCGTACACTAACAAAAGAATCACATGAAGGATCGCCATGCAGGTCGGGATCCGTCAGGCAGTGTTCCGATTCGTCGCTCCCACTCTGTGGGAGCACACGGCACCGGTTCACCAAGCGGCTCTGCGTAGTCAAAGATGATTCGCGCAATTTCGGCTGGAGCACGTCCAATGACAGGAGCGGACATGCTTGCCAAATCTGTGTGTCAAGTCTTTGTCAGCTCGACCTGAGCCTGTGTCCCAGATCCGCCGTAATGAGCCAACCAATTGTGCCCAGACAACACTTCAGCCCGTAAGGTTGATAGAGAAGAATTGAGGGTTGAGGTTTCAGGTTCTGGGGCTCAGCGTTCCGGCTGAGCCATACTATAGGGTTGAAGGGGAGAGAGCGAGCGAGAGCGAGAGCGAGAGCGAGAGAGAGAGAGCGAGAGAGAGACAGAGCGAGAGCGAGAGAAAAAGAC